CCATAGAACCATGGAGGCTATATATATAAAGCATGGAGGTCCCTAGGATGACTGTGCCTTATAATAAATTTTGGTTTTACTCAATTATTGAAAAAAAATAGCCAAATGAATGGAAACACATGAACTATGAACCAAAGGCTGAGGGGCCCCCAGCTGGATCAGGCCCTATGAATAGGTGAGACATTTGATTGGCTTGATCAATTTGGGAGGCAACTAGACAGTGGGACCAAGTCTTGTGCTCATTTCATGAGTTGGCTGTTTGAAACCTGGAGCTTATGCAGGGACACTTGGCTCAGTCTGGGACGAAGGGACTGTACCTGTCTGGAATGAGTCTACCAGGTTGATCCAGGCCTCAGGGGAGGATTTGCCTTGCAGGGGGTGGGAATGGGGGGCGGGCTGAGGATAAGGGGAGGGGGTGGGAGGGGGTGAATAGGGGAACCCGAGGCTGATATGTAGAACTGAATGGTATTGTAAAATAAAATTAAAAAAGCAATTTGCTATTCACCCCACATACTTTCCACAGATCCCTTTCCTCCCTCTACCCACACCCAGCTTTCTCTCCCAAGCCACACCACATCCCCACATACCCCAAATTGAGGTCTTATATGGGGGTCAGTAGAGCCCAGCACTCTGAGCCTAGGCATGTACAAACCACTCCCTACTAAACCAAGGCTGTTTAAGGTGTCACTCCACAGGAACCAGGTTCCAGAAACCTGCCCAAAGACCAGGGACAGATCCCGATCACCTGCCTGGGTGGCCCCCAAACAGTTTGAGCCAAACTACCATCTTCTGTATTCAGAGGACCTTGTCCAGTCCCATCAGGACTCCACAATCACCAGTCTACAGTTCATGGGCTTCTACTACTGTGGCCGGTCATTTCAGATGCAGGTACTTATAATTAACTTTAGCATATATGAATTTCTATCATATTATTACCTTGTGTACATAACATTTCAGTAGGAGATAAACATTCAGTTCCACACAATGAAAGAGCTAATGGATGTCCTATCAATCGGGGAGAGATCTCTGGCTTTGGATGAAAGGGATGCTGAAGGGCTTCACTTGTATCCCAGCAGAGGCTCCTGCAAAGGTCAACTTGACTTCTAGTGTATGGTGAGGAAAGCACATTAGCAGGAAAGCAATGCCAGTTACCATGACATCTGCAGCTCTTCCCTGGACATTCTACTGTATCCTGGAGAGCCCTAGCATCATATGTGATGTCACCTATGTTGTGACAATACCACCTGCCCTTAGGAAGTTTATTCAGTGCCTTCACCATTTACTGATGAACATGATGGCATACTGAAGAGTCTAATTCAGAAAGAGAATTGAGAGGTTAGAAAACCAGAGATTGACAGAAGAAATCTGATCTTCAGTTTTATGTAAAACATGAAGGAAGAAATGGTCAAGAGAATGGTGTAATGAGTTCTGTGCAGGAAAAGGGAAGCTTCCTGGAGGAAGTGGGCTTGAGCTGAATCTTCCAGTAATGGGGCCCAGAAAGCTGGAGTCTCTTGGAA